TGTAATGCGGTCTTGAGGGGTAGCTGTAATATTTAAATATATTTACTATCAAAATCAAAACTGGTCTACCTAATCACCATAAAGCAGCAGTGTACTTCAGGATCACTGAACAACATGTAGATTCAGAGATGACTACAACATAGACATATGTACAAGTACAAATATAGAAATATGTGATATATATATATATACACACAGCAACACAGAGATGAGTACCAGGTCAGGAAATTTGAGGCTGTTAGGTTGCAAGGACATATACATTTAAGTGCAATATTTCCAGAGGCTTTTCATCAAAGGAAAAGAGAAGACACGCTTAAAACATGAAAACACAACTGTCCTGGACAATTCTTGCGTAGCTGAAAACGTTTCTTATCTCACAACTCAAAATGGTCAGGTTCCCCAAACTGACCGATTTCTTACTACTTTCTATACAAAAAAGCGCCTTTCTTCGCCAGAAAGGGGTCCCCCCACGAGTGATGTTCTCCACAATGCGTTTTCCATGTAAAATGCCAACATTTCGTTACAGTTACAGGATGTTACAAGAGTGGTTTTTACCTCGCGAGAATATATACATAGAATATGGAACTGTATTTCTGGAGTCCCCTGGGCAGCTTCAGAAGTGGAAATACAGCAAAGCACGATATCCCCTTCCTTTTGTGCATTTCTGAAGGGGTAAAGCTGACTGAAAGAAAACAATACAACCGGTGTACTATTGCCAGCTAACTGCCAAGCATCCCCGCACCTGAAAGTGAGTAGTACTTTGCAGTACCAGGTCAGGAAATTCGAGGCTGTTAAGTTGCAAGGATATTGCTTCAGATGTTTTTCATATAAAATAAAAAAGGGAAGACAAACTTGAAACATGACAACACAACTGTCCTGGACAATTCTTGTGTAGCTCAAAAGGTTTCTTATCTCACAACTCAAAATGGTCAGGTTCCCCAAACTGACCGATTTCTTACCACTTTTTGTATATAACTCACCTTTTTTTCCGCCACAAAGGCGTCCCCCCCCACGAGTGATGTTCTCCACAACCCATTTTCCACGTAAAATGCCAACATTTCGTTACAGGACTGGTTCATACCTTGTGTGGACAGATACATAGAATCTGGAATTGTATTTCTGGAGCCCCCAGAGCAGTAGCTGCTGGGGTGTCTGGTTTTGTTCTCAATTTTTGGGATAAATATTCCATCTACCTGGTTTGATGAAATATTCTATCTGTTTGATATTCCATTTAATGTTTTGTGTTTTTTTGATTTTGTTGTTTTTTCCATATGTTTTCTCCAGACCCGTGTCTAAAAGTGGTTTTAACAGGGACGTAAAAATTTGAAAAACTTCTTTTTTGCAATACTCCAACTATTTTTTATCTTGTTTAAATCAGGATTGAAAATGTCCCATATTCTATCTACTCCAAGATGACTATGTAAATATGACTATAGACTATATATGTACATATTATGTCTTGTATAGAAATATCATGAACTATCTAATTATCGTAAACCCCAATCTTAGCCTAATTCGCAAAATGTTGTGTAAAAACCAACTTCGCGAACACGGTTCCTGGGGCATAAGCCTGGCGTTTTCAGGATCAACTCCCCTCCTGCGAGATCTGCGAAAAGCCTCAGCTGAGACGAACATTTTGGGATCCTGAGACTCTGTGGAAAATTGCCGGTGGATTTTGAAGCCAACGAGAACCCCAAAATCCAAGGATTTTGGAGTGGAAAAACATGGAAAAACTACCCAATCCCTAAGCGTTTGCTTCGGAGAAGTGGACCGAAAAATCTCCGACTGATTTCTTTTTCTGATCAGAGATGGAGGTCCACAACTCCCACGTCTGAAAGTTCAACAGCCCGCCTGCGCACGACACAGTTCCGGCACGGCGGTGATGTCGGTGACCACCCGCTGCAAGAGAGCTGGCAGCGGCTGGTCCCTCCTCACTTGGACCTGAGCTGCGTTTTCTTCCGATTCCCAGTGGATAACATGATAACCAGTGTATGAAGGGTAGTTGTTAAGACCAATAAACTATAAACTTGAGTTTCTGAAACTGCTCAGGCGCGGTAAAGCCAAAACCATAAGCCAACCTCAATTGTTGCCAGCCATGGGTTTGATAAACTATACTATACTCAATTGGAGGTTTATCACATTACCAAAGAAACCACGGATTTGCAAAACTACTTTCAGATCCATTTGCCTTCAATCATTCTGATCTTTCGTGACGAAAAATGACACGACTTTTTGCTGCTTTTTGGGTGTCTCAAAAGAAAAACGCTCTACAATAGGATAGATTTCCGGACAGAAAACCAATTGAGAACCGGTGCCATCCCAGCTAGAGCCACATTGGTGAAATACTATGCAAACCGGCCTCAACCAAGCAAAAAACGTCTCAGCATGGCATTTCAATGGACTACCTATCCAAATTCTCTTCACTTTTTAGATCTTTGGAAAACCACCGATCCTTACCACCTCAATCGGCCCATTTTTGAAAAGCGTTTCGCTGGGCTTCGCCCTCCGGAGGTCGCGCTGGGTCCAGCAGCTTTGTGCTGGAATCACCGTCCATCACCGGATCATCCGGTGCAGTTCGGTCCTGGCGTCCGATGGAATGCGGAAAGCCATGGGAGGGGCCCCTGGTCCTGGTGAAAAGCCCATGAAATGATGCTTTGTGAAAATACTATCATGGGTTAGTTCATAATCCTTGATACGCCAGTACAACCCTCCATATCCTCCATGTGAAACCATCAAGAGGGGTATTGTTCATGGCTCAAATGGATTGATTGAGGGAAAAATAGAGAAACCATATGGCTAACCATGGTACATCCACCTAAATACAGGGAGTTACTATAGATTTCCCCCCGAACCAAATCTGAAAACAATTAGAATGTGATGCCACTCACTATGAATTGAGTGGTGTATCATTGTACAATATCCACTCGAAGACCTGGAGACATCTCCTGATCCGTAACGGAAAGCCAACAAGAGCCGGTCATGTGCGGTCTTCTTGTATGAAGACTAGGCAGCTCCTAATCACAAGGTATAGATAGGTCTAGTGTTCCCTAAAAAGATAGAAAAGTAGTTCCAATTTGAACCATGAATTTCGTTGTGTATCTTTGTGGTGATAATTAGATCACATAACAAGATTAATTAACAAGTTCTTGTCCCAAGCTACAGAACCATCATCACAAGTTGGCCACCCAAAAACCCGCGTCCTTGCTCCGTGTCCCAAACTCCGGCGTCAGAGAAAAGACGTCCTGGACTCGATGACTCGGTGCAATGCTCAGTCGCTTACAGCAGCTTAGTTTACTAAATTGGAGCCAGGGACAAAGTGTTCAAGATTTTTTCAGATGCAAATGTCATAAATCTCGCGTTTTTGGATTTGGTCAACATGTTTTTCCTGTTTGTTTCGTTTCCTGCTTGGATTTGTTTCAATCTCCTGGCTCGAACTTCTCTTTGTACAGGGCGTAGGCGCGCCGCTGAAATGCAATGATCTGAGCACTATCTCCCAGCAGATCTTTCAACTGTGGGCTCCAGTGAGAGTAGCTGTGAAACAGATTCTTCTCAAAGATCACAATGTCCTGAATGGATATTCCGGTTTGACATCAATGGATATTCCGGTTGGCAAACAGTGAGGCACAGTGAGGCGCCTCACATTGCATCACAGCCGATCAAACGTAATAGATGGGTCCACCACCACCAACCGACCCTCCAACCCAGAGCCAGAGTTCTTTCATCCAAGTCTGGGGAGTTCTCTGGCCCCCACGTTATTTAAGTTCCACATGATCCAAATGTAAAGGTTTCCTAAAGAAAAGTCCCTTTAACTAACATGGGGATTCAACCAACCCCTTTCGGTGACCCTCCGATGCTGAAAGCGGCCCTTAACAAATCCTTTGTTTAGTTTAGCTTCCCACCTTGAAGATTTCTGTATCAACTTCATTCACCGGCTCCGAGATCATCAAAGCTCCAAAGCTCAACACCGAAGAGAGTCGAACGGTCTCAAGACGATCGTAGCTGTTGCTGGCGTTGCAGTACTTGTGCATGTTCAAGAATACCACATTGTGTTTCCTAACAATGCTGAGATCGTTTTGGTCAAAAGAAAAGGTAAATCGAAGATAATCGAAGCATGTCCACTTTCTGTGTATTACAATCAAATCCTCCCAATTTGTACTGCAGAATATGAAGAAACACAAGTTGGACAGCTGCACAGTCCAAAAAGTACGTGCAAGCGCGCTTGCTCGCGCTCGGGCCAGGCTGCATCGCCAGATTCTTCCAGTCATTTTTCTCGAAGCCACTGATGTGATTTGTAAATTTCACATGCCGCAGCTCGGGCATACGCCTCAAATGCCGCCAGCATTTCCTCAGATTTCATTACGAAAAGGGAACCAAATTATATTGTCTAAAAAAAAAAATGTCCTATAGATTTATTCCTAGTCATGCCGGATTTGACTGTAGGAAAATGAAAAAAAAAACACTCAGCAAATCTCTAAGTTTCCTCCGGTTTCCCCGCACCAGATGCCCCATGAAGACCCATTCGATCTTCCCAACGTTGAACTTAGAGATTCGCCTCATGGCTTCCCGGTCGTTCTGCTCTGGTTCCCACAGAGGCAAAAAGCCCGCGGGTAAAGTGCGAACCACCGGGGCTGAGGGGATGTTGCCATAGGTGTACTCCCAAATCTCACAGACCCCAGGACTGGTCAGCACATCCCAGGGATCACTTTGGTATAAGATGCAGTAGACCTGCTTCTGAGCCAACGTTGACTGACAATAACGAAAGAACTCCCACTGCAAGATCTTCCCCACGTGGATCCAGACATCACCAGCACGGACTTGGACCGCCTGAAAGTTCACAGATTTGAACTGCTTGCCTCGCTGTTCCCTGCCGGTCTCCACGAACTGCTTCACTTCATATCTGCACTCCGATGATCTCTGCCGTAGACCTGCCACAGCCGTAGAAATCAGCGGTGCGTAAATGCGATCGCCATTCGAACTGACATAGATGCCTAAGGCGGGCTCAAAATGAACTCACGCGACCTCTCAAGACTGGAAAGCCACTTCCTTCCCAGATACAGAAAGACGTCTGGTCAGCAAGACTCTTCCATCACCCGAGGTTTTGCCACGGAAGGAAGTATGAAATAATGGTAAGGAAACGCGCAAAGTTCATCATCCCCCCACTGGAACTAGGATGTGTCAGTGAGGGACCCCACGTGAAGTGCCGTGTGTGGTCTATCTTAAACAAGTTGGGCCAGAGAACCCAAAAGCAAGACCGCACACAGCACGCCTTTTTTAAAAAACTCTTGTGGTGTGGGCAGCTGTGCTCTGCACGAAATCGACGTAAGATCTTTACTGAAACATCGTCTGCACTGATGGCATCAGGGGCCACAATTTACCACAGCATGCTGTGTCAGCTACGTCTACATTCTTCTAGTCGCTATTTTTGCTAATGTAATTAACTCTATCCCATTTTTCTAGTCGCTATTTATTCCTGGGTCCTCGCTTGATTTGCTTCGCCACAGAGGGAGCGGGGACAAAGCGTGGACGGACAGAACACCGTGCGAAATGAAAACTAAACGACGGAGGGAGTTGACCAAAAGAGCATGAAAACGAAGATATCAAGATGACAGATGGTGAATGATCATGAAAAATGAGACATGATGAAAGATGGGTAAAGACTTCTCTGTACAAAAGTTTCTATGCGTAAAAACTACTGTGTGTAGACACGTCTGTGCGTACAAGTTTCTTTGTGTAAAAGTTCCTCTCTGTGAAAGTATCGTGAAAAAAACTCATGTGTGAAAGCGTCTGTATGTAAAAGCTTCTGTGGGTAAACACTTCTGTGTAAAGGTTATTTTGTGTAAAAGCTTCTGTTCTGTGTGTAAAAGCTTCTGTGTAAAACACCCTCTGTGTATAAAAGTTTCTGATTGTGAAAGTTTCTTTGCGTACCAGCTTCTGTGTGTAAAGGCTCCTCTGTGTTAAGGTTTTTTTCGTGTAAAAGCTTCTGTGTGTAAAAGCTTCTCTGTGTAAAAGACTTCTCGGTGTCAAAGCCTCTGAATGTACAAGCTTCTTTGTGTAAAAGTTCCTCTGTGTAAAAGCTCCTCTGTGAAAAAGCTGCTCTGTGTAAAAGGCTTCTCTGTGTAAAAGCTACTCTGTGTAAAAGCTGCTCCGTATAAAAGGCTTCTCTGTGTAAGAGCCTGTGTGAGTGCAAGCTTCTCTGTGCAGAAGCTTCTGTGTGGAAAAGCTTCCCTGTGTAAACGCCTCCGTATGTAAAGACTCCTCTGTGTAAACCCGCCTGTGTGTAAAAGCTCCTCTGTGTAAAGGCTTTTTTTGTGTAAAAGCTTCTGTGTGTAAAAGCTTCTGTGTGTAAAAGTTTCTGTGTGTAAAAGCTTGTGTATAAAACAAATATTTGTGTAAAAGCTTCTGTGTATAAAAGGTCCCCTGTGTGTACAAGCTTCGCTGCGTAAAAACTACTCTATGTAAAAGCTCTGTGCGCCGTAAAGTTGTCTGTTTGTAAAACCTTCTGTGTGTGAACACGTCTGTGTGTACAAGATTCTGTGTGCAAAAGCTCCCTTCTCTGTGTAAACGCGTTTGTGCGTAAAAGCTGTAAACGCGTCTGTGTGTAAGGGCTCCTCTGTGAAAAGACTTCTCTGTGTAAACGCGTCTGTGCGTAAAAGCTTCTCTGTCTAAGACTTCTCTGGATAAAAGCTACTTTGTGTAAATGGTTTTGTGCGTAAAAGGCTTCTGTGTGTGTAAAAGTTCAAATGTGCAAAGGCTTCTCTGTGTAAAAGCGTCTGTGTGTAAAAGCTCCTCTGTGTAAGCCTTGTTGTAAAAAGCTTCTGTGTGTCAAAGTTTCCTTGTGCAAAAGCTCCTGTGTGCAAGAACTTCTCTGTGTAAATGCGTTTTTGTGTAAACGCTTCTGTGTGTACAAGCTGCTCTGTGGAAAAGTTTCTGTGCGCCGAAAGAGCCTCTATTTTTAAAACCTTCTGTGTGTAAACGTGTCTGTGTCTAAAAGCTTCTGTGTGCTCCTCTGTGTCAAGACTTCTCTGTATAAAAGGCTTCTCTCTGTAAAAGCCTTTGTGTGTACAGGCTTCTCTGTGTCAAGACTTCTCTGTGTAAAGATTTCTCTGTGTAAAAGCTACTCTGTGCAAAGAGGCTTCTGTGCGTAAAGGCTTCGGTGTGTAAACGCGTCCTTGTGTCAAGGCTCCTCTGTGTAAACGCGTTTGTGTGTCAAAGTTTCTGTGTAAAAGTTTCTGTGTAAAGGCTTTTTGGTGTAAAAACTTCTGAGTGTAAAAGCTTCTGTGTGTAAGAGCTTCTCTGTGCGTAAACGTTTTTTGTGTGTAAAAACTTAGTGTGCAAAAACTCCTCTGTGTAAAGACTTATCTGTGCAAACCCGTTTGTGCGTAAAAGCTCCTCTGTGTAAGACTTCTCGGTGTAAAAAGCTTGTGTGTGTGAAAGTTTCTGTGTGTAAAAGCTTTCCTGTGTAAAAGTTTCCTTGTGCAAAAGCCTCTGTGTGTGTAAAATCTTCTCTGTGTAAAGGCTTTTTTATGTAAAAGCTTCTGTGTGTAAAAGTTTCAGTGCGCCGTAAACGCTTCTGTGTGTAAAACTTCCTGTGTGTAAACACGTCTGTGTGTAAAAGTTTCTGTGTGTAAATTTCCTCTGTGTAAGAAGGATTTCTCTGTGTCAAAGCTCCTCTGTGTAAAGACTTCTCTGTGTAAAAGCCACTCTGCGTAAAAGCTTCTGTGCGTGGAGGCTTCTGTGTGTAAACGCACCCGTGTGTAAACACTCCTGTGTAAACGCGTCTGTGTGTGAAAGCTTCTGTGCGTAAAAGTTTCTGTGCAACCCCTCTTGTGTAAAAACTTGTGCGTAAGAGCTTCTCTGTGTCAAGGCTTTCCCGTGTAAAAGCTTCTGTGTTTAAAAGCTTCTGCGTGTAAAGCTCCTCTGTGTGTAAACGTTTCTGTGTGTAAAAGCTGCTCTGCGTAAAAGTTTCTTTGTGTAAAAGCGTCTGTGTGTACAAGCTTTTCCGTGAAAAAGCTCCTCTGTGAAAAAGCTGCTCTGTGTAAAAGGCTTCTCTGTGCAAAAGCCTCTGTAAGTGCAAGCTTCTCTGTGTCAAGACTACTCTGTAAAAAGACTTCTCTGTGTAAAAGCTTTTGTGTGTAAAACCTTTCCTGTGTAAAAGATTCTGTGTGTAAAGCCCTCCCTGTGTACAAGCTTCCCTGTGTAAAAGATCCGCCGTGTAAAGCTCCTCTGTGTAAAGCTCCTCTGTGTAAAAGCTGCTCTGTGTAAAACCCGTGCCAACAGCTCCGCATTTTCAGTGCCGCTCCCTCCAAGCAGAGCTCTTCCCAAGCTATTTCCCCATCTGTCCGTTCACGCTGATGCATATCCTATGCTTGGGTTATCGTTTAGTTTGCTTCGCTGCAAAGGGAGCAAAAACCAAGCATCGACGGACAGAACGCCGAGCAAAATGAAAACTCCTCCAGCAAAGAAATTTTCCCGTGCATGTCCGGCATGTCCCTTTGCCCAGCGTTTAGACACCGTTTGACAAGTCTTTGGCACACTTTTTTGGGGACAATCGCGTTGATGGAATTTGTCCTGAAAAATGCTTGCCAACAGCTCTGCTCCTTTAGCCTCATGCCAACGAAGCTATGCATGCCCCATGGCACAGGGTTTGGAAACTTTGGCAGCTCTTGGGCGCACAGTTTTTCGCAACAATCGTATTGATGAAGTTTGTCCTCTCCCTGCCAGTGAAGCTATGCATGTCACATCGCCCAACGTTTGCAAACCACTTGAAAAGTCTTGGGCGTACAGTTTTTCGGGACAATCCCATTGATGAAATTAGTCCTGAAAACCCGTGCCGACAGCTCTGCTTCTCAGTACGTCGCTTCTTCCCAACGGAGCTCTCCCCAAGCTATTTCCCACGGTTTCCCGTCCGTCCACCCTGTCGTCGGAGCTCTCCCCAAGCTACTTCCCACAATTTCCGTTCCGTCCACCCTCTCGTCGCTTTCATGTCGGTCGTTCGCCTCGGACCTCTCCCCAAGCTATTTGCCACGGTTTCCTTTCCGTCCACCCTTTCGTTGCTTCCGTATCGCCCCTTCCCAACGGAGCTCTCCCCAAGCTATTTCCTATACGGCTTCCCTTCCGTCCACCCTGTTGTCGCTCCCGTATCGCTCCTTCCCACCGGAGCTCTCCCCAAGCTATTTCCCACGGTTTCCCTTCCGTCCACCCTGTCGTCATTCCCGTATCGCTCCTTCCCACCGGAGCTCTCCCCAAGCTATTTCCCACAGCGTCCCTTCCGTCCACACTGTCATCATTCCCGCATCGCTCCTTCCCACCGGAGCTCTTCCCAAGCTCTTTCCCACGGTTTCTCTTCCGTCCACCCTGTCGTCATTCCCGTATCGCTCCTTCCCACCGGAGCTCTCCCCAAGCTATTTCCCACGGTTTCCGTTCCGTCCACCCTGTCGTCACTCCCGTATCGCTCCTTCCCGCCGGACTCCCCCACCTATTTCCCACAGCGTCCCTTCCGTCCTCCGTGTCGTCATTCCTGTCTCGCTCCTTCCCACTGGAGCTCTCCCCAACCTCTAAAAAACGGTGTCCCTTCCGTCCACCCTGTCGTCACTCCCGCACGCTCCTTCCCACCGGAGCTCTCCCCAAGCTCTTTCCCACGGTTTCCCCTCCGTCCACCCTGTCGTCATTCCCGTATCGCTCCTTCCCACCGGAGCTCTCCCCAAGCTATATTTCCAACGGAGTCCCTTCCGTCCACACTGTCATCATTCCCGCATCGCTCCTTCCCACCGGAACTCTTCCCAAGCTATTTCCCACGGTTTCCCTTCCGTCTACCCTGTCGTCACTCCCGTATCGCTCCTTCCCACCGGAGCTCTCCCCAAGCTATTTCCCACAGCGTCCCTTCCGTCCACACTGTCATCATTCCCGCATCGCTCCTTCTCACCGGAGCTCTTCCCAAGCTATTTCCCACGGCTTCCCTTCCACCCACCCTGTCGTCATTCCGGTATCGCTCCTTCCCACCGGAGCTCTCCCCAAGCTATTTCCCAGATTTCCTTGCCGTCCACCCTGACTCCACTCCCGTATAGCTCCTTCCCACCGGAACTCTCCCCAAGCTATTTCCCACGGTTTCCCTTCCGTCCACCCTGTCGTCACTCCCGTATCGCTCCTTCCCACCGGAGCTCTCCCCAATTCACACGGTTTCCCTTCCGTCCACCCTCTCATCACTCCCGTATCGCTCCTTCCCAACGGAGCTCTCCCCAAGCTATTTCCTATACGGCTTCCCCTTCCGTCCACCTTGTTGTCGCTCCCGTGTCGCTCCTTCCCACCGGAGCTCTTCCCAAGCTATTTCCCACGGTTTCCCTTCCGTCCACCCTGTCGTCATTCCTGTCCCCAAGCTATTTCCCACGGTTTCTCTTCCGTCCACTTTGTCGTCATTCCCGTATCGCTCCTTCCCACCGGAGCTCTCCCCAAGCTATTTCCCACGGTTTCCCTTCCGTCCACCCTGTCGTCACTCCCGTCTCGCTCCTTCGCACCGGAGCACTCCCAAAGCTATTTCCCACGGTTTCCCTTCCGTCCACCCTGTCGTCATTCCCACATCGCTCCTTCCCGCCGGACTCCCCCACCTATTTCCCACGGCGTGTCAGGGTGGTCACTCCCGAATCCCGTATCGCTCCTTCCCACCGGAGCTCTCCCCAAGCTATTTCCCACGGTTTCCCTTCTGTCCACCCTGTCGTCACTCCCGTATCGCTCCTTCCCACCGGAGCTCTCCCCAAGCTATTTCCTATACGGCTTCCCTTCCGTCCACCTTATGTCATTCCCGTATCGCTCCTTCCCACCGGAGCTCTCCCCAAGCTATTTCCCACGGCCTCCCTTCCGTCCACACTGTCATCATTCCCACATCGCTCCTTCCCACCGGAGCTCTCCCCAAGCTATTTCCCACGGTTTCCCTTCCGTCCACCCTGTCGTCATTCCCGTATCGCTCCTTCCCACCGGAGCTCTCCCCAAGCTATTTCCCACACATCATTCCCGCATCGCTCCTTCCCACCGGAGCTCTTCCCAAGCTATTTCCCACGGTTTCCCTTCCGTCCACCCTGTCGTCACTCCCGTATCACTCCTTCCCACCGGAGCTCTCCCAAAGCTATTTCCCACGGTTTCCCTTCTGTCCACCCTGTCGTCACTCCCGTATCGCTCCTTCCCACCGGAGCTCTCCCCAAGCTATTTCCCACGGTTTCCTTTCCGTCCACCCTCTCGTCGCTTCCATCTCGATCCTTCCCCACAGAACTCTCCCCATGCTATTTCCCACGGTTTCCCCTCCGTCCACCCAATCGTCGCTTCCATCCGTTCCCTTCCAACGCAGCTCTCCCCAAGCTATTTCCCACGGTTTCCCCTCCGTCCACCCTCTCGTCAAATCCAACTAAACGAGAACCCAAGCATCGGAGATGCTTTTGGGAAAAGTAATAATCATCCCAATCAGCACTTTTGGAACAGCTTCCACCCGAAAATGCTGAGGCAGACTTAGCTCAAACCCAGATACTATACCTCGGTGCAGCTTTTTGGCATCTGATCCCACTGTAGCAACAAGAGTTCCTAATCGCCACATTCACCGGCCACGGGTTCTTGACGAAGTTTGGCTGAGGCGGGGTGAAGCCCAACTGATGATACTTGGCTGCTGGGCCCACGGCGCTCCATCCGCTTACAGCAGCCGGCCGCTCCGGCTCCTCCGGCTCCTCCGGCTCCTCCGGCTCCTCATTGGAATCTGGCTCCTCGTCGGAATCTGGACCCTCGGTTGCTGTTGCAAGCCCTGGATTCGTGGCCTGCTCACTCCCGCTGTCAACCTTGGGAGTACCAAAGGAGACTGTGGGATCCGATCGGAGAGTGGTGTCTCCCAGTGTTGAGCTACTGACACCTTCGGAACTTTGATAAAAAATGGCCTCAAACGAGCGCGCCAGAAAGTTGGGTGACTCTGTGCTTGTGACGGTCAAGAAGCCAATCTCAAGTCGTGTCGGATTGATGGTCGGGTCGATTGTTGGGTCAATCGGAGTCAGGGAGCTGACACCAGAAATGTTGGTCTCCCCGACGCTCAAGACTAGTTTGGTCAAGCTAAAACCTGGCCGAACAAACGGAAAAAAGTTGATGGCCACCAGGATCGCAACAAGCACTACCACTCTCACCGAGCATCGGTTAGAGGGCCAAGCAAACATACCTGGTGGCTGCGAACAGGCTACAGCCAAGGTGTGGTCCCAAGTTGGTTATTTCACTAGGTTAACAGTTGGGTTTCTGGTATCATATCAAACTCGTTACTGCGGGTTACACAGCCAACTTACATGGGAGTGTCTGAAAAATGGGCTATCCCTTTTTTCAAGGTTTATCAGCATTTTCCCTATGAAAAACTGACCCATAAATGTGTCCCCCATAACTCTGGGGACCACCCCTGAAAAGCATTCCGAGATGCACCAAACAGCAGCCTTGCTGCATCAAGTTCGTGCTCCCATTCTACACACCCATCGCCATGGCAGTCTAGCAAGTTCCATCGGTTTCTGTTGGTTTATAATTTTCAATCACTGTTGGATTTATTGGTTTTAGAATGTCTAAATAGCTGTTGGATTTATGGTGGCTACATCCAACTATAGGAATTAACTCGTCGCGGCCTGGCTGCGTCGTCATTTGATGAGTCAAAATTGGGGGGAAATTCGCATGGTACCTTCAGTCATAGCTGGTGACTGAATGTTTATTCCCAAAAAATATGGTAATAGTAGGTTTTGACCCTTCCCCATATTATTTTTTTCTGCAGTGCGCTCACAGTTTCTGATGCAAGAATCTTCCTCTTTGCCCGCACACATCCACAGGATCTATGCGACAGCTGTAGAAATGGCACAGAGATTTGCCGATATAAGTTCCAATCTACTAGGCCGCTCCATCTCAGGTTTAAAAAAAACTGTGCCCGGGGTGTCATATCATGTTTGTTACATTTGTCAGAGGGAACAAGCTTATGAAAGTATTAGCAGTCAAATATCAGGTTTTGCAAACGGCAATGTGGGAATCCCCGGATATAATTGCTGATGTTCAATCGGATCCCCAATATGGCCTTGTTTAAATAGGGTACCCAACATTTGATTATTCATCACCATGTTCTCCATATCTTAATGAACACAAATTGAGGGTACATCCCGCTTTCAGACCCAAGAATCAATTGCTAGTTTGTATCCCCATAAAGAAGAACGTATCCCCGGTTTTCCAATAACTATATACCAACTATGATACCCATCATTTTACCATATCCAACGAAAAATCCATAAAAATCGCCTAACTGGTCCACAACCAAGGCATCGGCATATCGATCTCCGTAAACCTGTGGTGCCTCGCGGTGACAGGACAATTTTCAACTAGGCCAACATGATACATAGATACTGCATGAGTCTACATAATATGCGTACATACATATATATATATATAGCTATAAATGTATGTCATATATATATACAAAATAATCTATTGAATCAAAAACAATTATGTATACTATATATATCTATATGATTATACATACATATGTATACAATATATATATATATGTATGCATACATATGGAGGCTCACTACAGTAGCCCACCTGCAATGAAAAACCTTGCGGGATGCAGACTGAATCACTTGTGCAAGTCAACTTCTTGTGTCTTGAAGCGGGTGCCTCGTCTTCCTCGTCTCCCAGAATACTTCCTGGGACAGGAGTCAACTGCTGCCGAAGCAGAACAAGCAAACACTGGTTGAAGGATACCAATGCCGAAAAAAATCTAGGTACTGTAGACATCTATTTGATGTAGCATATTGGTCATCTAAGGTCGGTGCCTTAAAAGTCCCTCAGAGGCAGTAAAGCGAACAATGGACTCAAACCAATTTTTCGAACATCAAAACGCACCAACAGTTCTTCATGTGCAGTGTATATGTACGTATATATATATATATATGCATATGTTACACTAATATAATAAAGTTAGAGAAAATGTGACTGCACCAGTCAAATCCCTCCTTTCAGCAGCTGCAAGCCACGAAGAAAGCTGCTACAGCTGCACATGGCGTGTCACTCCGGGCTCCGGTGCTGTGTTTGCTGGTCCCATGGCCCGTCGTGATGGGTTGTTGGGTTGATAGATGGGTTGATAAGAATTTTTAGAATCTGATCATGCTCGGACCAGCCATCCATTCCCTGTCGACTGAACAATACATCGTACACCATGTCAGTGTCACTGTGCCCTACCTTGTAATCGAACCAGGCAATTCCCATTTTGGGGTAAATTGATCCTGCGTGCAAATGCACCATGTTCCATGATCAGAGACTATCCCTCAAACCCACTGGCCAATTCGACTAGGATGCTGTGGTTGTCAATAGATATCTGCCCCTCACCATTCGCAAATCACAAGAAAATTGTGGCCCTATCCGCCCAATAAAAGGAAGCCTAAGCATGGCATGCATAGAAATGTTCAAGTGGATCTTTTCAGTGTCCATCACACACCAACTTGGCGCCCAGCTTTCCGGAACCCACTAAATCCCAACTTCTGCCGGTAACTGTGATGATTCGTCCTCAAAGATGCCTTGGTGACTTCCGGGCCTTGGCAGCTACCCTAAGTCATGGAGGTGTCCTAAGTCATGAGGGTTACCCCCAGTTATCATCCAGTCGTCATGACCATGACTTAGTATTGAAGCCCACTTTTTGACTTGGGGATTCAGTTTAAGAAATCACCAAGTAGACCCCCGAAACCCCTGGTGGAATGTTTTGGATATATTCATGTTTGATCTCCTATTGGATCGTATTCAATATCAGAAAGGATGAATTTTGATCCACGGAATTGTGCCTTGTCTATTGACAAGATCAAAAGTGAGAGGCGCTCATTCCGATTTTTTTGGGGGATCTTTGGGAAGAGTGTCACCTTCCCTCCAGCAGGGGGTCCAGGAATCTGTAACTCTACTAAATTACACTAAACCATACGTTTGACATCATTCAATCGTTTACGGCTGATGAAAACGTTTCTCGCCATGAGAAAGAACAAAATTTGGTGAATTAGCGCCAAAAACATGTGGTGTGGTGCAAATTCACCACAGACTCTGCACACCATGGGAAATGACAAAATGACAGCTCAAAATGAAATAAAACATGTGTTATCCGGTTTTTTATTTTACATAAGGTCAAGTATTGCGCCTGCCACGAAAAATCAAAGCCGAAGCATCCGAAGCACTGCCCATGCCACACAAGCACCAGGCGCCACATCCGAAAATAAATGCAGTCTCACCAAATAACCGTTTCAGCCTTTCAAAACATCCTCCAAGTTCACCCAATACTGGGCCTGCCAAGTCTTTGAAGCGCCACGAGACGTCGCACCAAAAACGAACCTTCGCACACTGAGGCGAGAAGGCACCTTCGCAGTAGTCGCCCACCTGGGCCCACCTTCGAAAAAAAAAACAAATGTGACCACCTGGTGATCTATCCCAATTAGTAAGTGGATAAAAACACCCCAATTACAACTGGACTCATCCTACTTACCCTACTTATACATTGGGGTAAACTAACATAGACGTGGAAAATTCATGTTCATGTTTTTCCGTCTGGAAAATGAGTTACACTGTCTACATTCATGCTGGGTAAACTCCAAATCTATGTTATTTTCCATTTACTAACTTTCACTCCCACTAAATCCCATGTAATCCCCATTTTCATCTGTTTTCATCCGTTTTCTACTTGGGTTTCCTGGGATTTTTACCAACCCATTTTGCCCAGCGACATCAGTAGCGTCTCCATGGACTGTTCCTGTGACATCGGCACCGTGGCAGCAGAATCTAAGGCCACACCTGGCAAAAGCTGGGCGTGGGGAAAGCCCAGCAGATGCTCATTCTGGGAGTATATAGTATGTAAAATACATGTGTATATATATATATATGTATGTGTATACATGTATATCTAGATGTATATGTATACATATACGTAAATATAAATGAATATATATATATATGTGTGTAACTAGGAACACGGCCTTTAGAAGGCCGTGGGTCTTTTGTGATCAACGGTGTATCATGGGTGATTTTTGATGTGCTGGTGCCAATAGGATTTTGTTTGATGGGATTTTTAAGGCCGTTAACCTCGTTTTTCTGGTGCATATTTTCAAAAACATGCATTTCGCCTAGACGAAACTACCATGTTTGAGGTTTTTGAGAATTCCCAAACTAATTCGACCTGACATGTTTTGATGTGGTTTTTAAGGCCGTTAACCCCTTATTTTGGTGCATATTTTCAAAAACAAGCATTTCGCCTAGACGAAACTACCATTTTTGGGGTTTGTGAGAATTCTCAAAATATTCAACCTGACATGTTTTGATTCCTGTGTTGGTCACAGCAACGCTTCGAGTTCTTCCAAGAACCTTTGCGGATCTGGATTGTTTAAGGTACAACGCCAGCACCGCATGAACACATATTGTGTAACGTAGCATGACACATGAGTGGAAAGTTCAAGAGAACTTACAGTAGCGTAGCATGACGTATGCATGGAAAGTTCCAAAGAACTTACGGTAACGTAGCATGACGTATGAGCGGAAAGTTCAAGAGAACTTACAGTAACGTAGCATGACGTATGCATGGAAGGTTCCAGAGAACTTACGATAGCGTGGCATGACGCATGAGTGGAAAGTTCCAGAGAACTTACAGTAACATAGCACGACGTATGAGTGGAAAGTTCCAGAGAACTTACAATAGCGTGGCATGACGCATGAGTGGAAAGTTCCAGAGAACTTACAGTAACGCGGCATGACGTAGGAGTGGAAAGTTCCAGAGAACTTACATAGCGTGGCAGGACGCATGAGTGGAAAGTTCCAGAGAACTTACAGTAACCTAGCACGATGTATGAGTGGAAAATTCAAGAGAACTTACAGTAACGTAGCATGAGGTACGAGTGGAAAGTTCCAGAGAACTTACAGTAACGTGGCATGACGCATGAGTGGAAAGTTACAGGGAACTTACATAGCGTGGCATGACGCAGGAGTGGAAAGTTCCAGAGAATTCATACACAGTAGCCACAGACAAGCATGTCCTTCCTCCGCAAGTTCACATGAACGTTATTACATCCGCAAGTTCACATGAACGTTATTACATGCCCCACCCCACCCCACCCCACCCCCCCGATATGTACAAAACACCACGGCCTTATAAAGGCCGTGGTTATAAAGGCCGTGGTCCAACTAGACATATATGTGAATATATCTATATATATATCTGTAAATATATATATATACATATATACATATACAAATACACATACATATACATATAGATATACAAAAATACATATACAAATACATATATATATATACATATATGTATAAATAGTGTGTCATTTGTGCGTATATGTATATATATATATATACGCATGCAACGGTACATATATATATATATACATACATACATACATACATATCATATCTGTTACATACAAATATCATGTCAATGAATGTGCGTCTTAGCAAATGATTAACTACACATGGAGTGAGT